GGAATGTGTTAAAATGTTTGCTTTCTGACACCACATGTACACTCTTTTTGAGTTTTTAATATTTCCCATCTGGCTTGAGAACAGCACCACGAGGAAAACGGGGACATAAAGGGCTAAGACTGCGACAATTTCAAGAATATGTACACTAAAATATTTAAGTAGAAAAAATGTTTTGATGAAAATATAAGAAAAGATTGACATCTTATTTGAATAGATAGAAACAAGAATTATGGGAGGGAAATTTTCAAAGATCTATGTGCCTTTTCATCTTTATATAGATTATATATATTATATAGATTTATATAGATTTAATTTAAGGATTCAAAGGAAGTTTTGAATCCCCTCGTGGGAGCTGGAAGAAATAAAACTGAGATAGTTAGAGAAACGCAACAAAGTGCAGCTAGGCGCACTCAAACACTCATTTCTGCACAAGCACAGCCAGCCGAACAATTTGTCAAGAGTTTAGCACGCAGTACCAGACCATTCCAGCTTACTTTTACGCCTGCCGCTGCTGCCAGGGTCCATCTGTGGTCACATCACTGCAGGTGGTGGGCATGACCAAACAGGACACAGCAGAACCGCTGATACTTCTTAGCTTTTGACTAACAGATTATACCACACTGATGCATTTTATATGTCAGACAGAGCACCAGCTAATGTTTTCATCCAGTCAAGTCCCGTCGACGAAAACTCACATCATCAAAGGTCCACGTTTAGTTCGACAGTTCTCATTATTGTCATGAAATAAACGGAGCGTCAACAACATAATTTTGTCATTGTCATACTTGACAAAAAAAAATAAATAAAATACAGCTTACAGCTAGGCTCTCTTCTTCTATGTCACTAGCCATTTGCATTGAAATTATGAGTAGTTGCATGTGCAGTATGGAAATAAGTAGGGGTTGCAATAGTAGCAGACTACAATGGTTCCGCTTGTAGAAGATGAAAATATTGAGTAAAGAGCCTTTCTGATGGTTCTTTTTGCATCCCTCCTGCCTTCATGAAGCCTAAACACCTTAGTTATTGCATTACAGTGCATCACAACTGCTGCATGTTTTTCATTGATGTGACAGAACTTTCACAGAAGGCGCTTCATTTCTTTACATGTAAACATACGCAATACATGTGTATAGCTGTGAAAAAACCTAGATGAGAAACGGCATGACAGAATCTGTAATTATTTCTTAAAATAACTTAAATAAAAATATTTGTTGCCTTGTATATGAGGAGTTTCTAATTTGACAGTCTTCAAAAGCTATAGGTAATAAAAGTAGATTCTGGAAAAGTACGGTTCTGTTTGAGGAGAACAAAGAGCTGCCAAATCCTGCACAGTGTTGCATGCACTGCACACACAAGACGCAGTACTTTTGTTTTGGTAAATGCAGCTTTAAAATGGAGTGGAGATGCTGCCCAGAATTTCAAGTGTAATGACCCTTAGATCTATGATTCTAAGGCTTTGTCCAAGCTAGATGTACTGGAGCTAAAACCTGCATGCAAGCCTTGTCATAAGTTTGGCTACCAGAGCCGTTGGGTTGTTGTCTGTTGAAACTGTGTGAATTTAGTCTCGCTAGTTTCTGTGGTTGCCGTAGTTTCCCTGTCAGTGTGTGTGTTTTGTGTGTTTGGTTGCAGCTATTGCTTTAGTTTAACTTTTTTTTTTTTTTTTTTTCAGCCCATTCATTGAATTTGATGGTTTTGGTGGTCTGACAGCAATAGATGTGTTGTTATTGTATTTGCTTTCTCCTCTAATCATTTGTTCCTGGCTTTGCAAAGAAAATGAATCCATTCATTAAGAAATAAACACAGAAATGAATTAATAATTTAATATTTATGAATGAGTTCTGGACAGTTTACTTTGATATTCTTTTGCAGTCATCATCAAATTTTAGACATCCATTTGGGAGCAATGGGTCTCATGCAGAAATATTTTTGTATTCTTATCATGAATTTCTTTTACTTTTTCTCCTACCATGGGCTTGTATGAAAACAACATGTCAGGTTCATCAAACATTCTTGATTTCAGTAAATGATCGTAAATTTTCCTTGTAAACTTGATGTAGTCCACCTGTGCATAAGTGAGTGCAAAACCAAGGAGCTGCCATGGAGTGAAATGAATGCTGGTCTCACCAATCCATTTTCTGTTTTAGATGTTTTTTCAATTGTAGCCTGATCTCCAGCTGCCAACATAACAAATTTAACACGTGTCCTCTAGATACTGACATTCCAGCTGCAGTTGTAGTGACTGACACTTCAGTCATCAGTGAATAGAAATGTAATTTATAATTGTGGAGTTGCATAATAGATAATAATGTAGTCTAAAAATGGACAATTCTGAATTAACAAATGTAGTAATTAAGTGAAAAACAGGTTTTGGATAACAGCCGACTGATTGCGAAAGCCTGGAACACTCTTAAAATGTGTCTGTACCTGAGAGAAGATTAGAAATAGGAGAAAAATGGTGAATGCAACGTTTTCTCCTAAATCACTAATTCGAATGATTAAACAACATATTTGGTTTGTGCAAATATGTTTTTGCATGAGGACCAATGACTTCAGCTAATGCCTAAAAGAGAGAGTTGTAGATTTAATTAAAGGCTGCCACTGACCAGTTGTTTTTACTATCAGTTAAATTGGTAGAACATTTTCAATAAAAGCTCAAATGTAGAAATATAAGATACATGTTTTCCTATTCGCTGCAGTTTATAGCTGCTGTACAATTTTTAGAAAACAAGAAAATACGTTTTTAGGGTCACTCCTTCTGAGCTTCTTCAGCCTCTCACTCACCAAGCTCCCCATCAGGCATGGACAGTGAAAAGTCCATTTAACTGGTTATATTTATAGTTTTGTATTAGTAATGATTATTGTACATATTAATATACCGGCAGCAGCATAAAGTTCTGGCCTATGAGGAGGGTTCATTATTAACAAAAGTGGCTCTGTACCTCTTGGCGGCTAGTAGAACTGGAGTTAATCAAGCACACTAATTACCTTTAGATACAACACATCCACCCTGCACCTGACTGAGTTTAACTAAATGTTTATGCTAAAATGGTGATAATACTTGCCCAGTTCTGCAATCCAACTATGAAGCAAAGCTACTCTTGCAGGGGCATTAAAATATCACAGCAGGTAGAAGTGTGCAGCTGCTTACGGAATAAAACAGTAATAAATTAACTCTTCAACATGTTTTCTCACTTGACATTACTTGTCAAAAGCATATACTAAAATATTTTCATGGAGGATTACAGTGTCAAAATGTACTTTAATTAGAGGGGTTACTTACTTTTTCACAAATAGGCAGTTTTGGTTTGATAACAGTTTTTTTTTAACCCCTGGTTTTTCCAATATCATTTATTTATTTTCTTAGAAATATTAACTGTGTTCAAACAACAGCCTAATATCCCTAAACCCCTGTGTAAAGTAGTTTAAGTCATATTAGCATATAAAAGAAAACCTTATAAATATTTGAAATATGAAAGTTTGCAATTACTTTGCTCCAAAAGTCAATTTGTGATGTGTATCTTAGAGGTAGACCGATATTCATCAGCTAGCCATTATTTTTGCTGATATCATCTTTTTTTTTTCTTGTATCAGCCAACATGTTCATGTGTTCATCTGTACATGATCACATAAAGGAAATTGGATTAGCCTTTAAAATAAACTCTAACTGTTGATCAATTATTGAATGTTGCATAAGCTGACATTGTGCTGACAAAATACTTACAATATATTGTGCAGCCTTAATATTAAGGTCTTGAGTCATAATGTTTTTTGTGCATTGCCAACCAGTCTTTCCCACTACTTTTGCAACCACTCAATAATAAACAAAGGTGGAAGTACAGGCTCTATTCCTGCAATTAACATAAAATCTGCTGCTCAGAACAATTACTTTGTCAACATTTAATTGATGTGAATAAAATAAGTTGATCTGGTTACCTCATATTAAAATTGGGTTAATTTACAACAGTACTAGAAGTCTCTAAGTCTTTAATAAAGAACCCATTCTCATTTAGCAAAATATAGTTTTTGCAACTTTAGAAACAACGTCTATAGAAATTGAGGATCCTTGGTAATAAATCCGTCCACCTTCTCCTGCTTATCCTCCAGGGTTGCTGTCAGGCTGCAGCTTATCTCCATCAGTATATGGCAAAGGGAGGGTACACCTTAGACACCAGTCTGTTGCAGGGCAACACACACAATTTAGAGATGGCATTTAACCATGCAGAAAGACCCCATGCCAGGAATCAAACCCAGGACCTTCTTGCTGCAAGGCAACAGTGCACAAACTGCTCCACCATGCAGCCCTTGATCTATACAACAGATCTAAAAATTAGTGTACGAAAAATTAAAACCTAATCCTTTCATATTATCATTCCTTAATATCAGAGTTGTAGTTTTTCACTCTAAATTCATCTTTTTGCACAGATGTAGACGTAAACCATTATACAATGAATATGTTTGCTGTATTTTTTCTCTCTGGAATACAAAAATAGAAGATACTTCATGTCTAATGTTAATCACATTTCCTTTCCTTTATGTGCAAGATTTAGATCCTCTGTGTCACATTAGAATATCGGTTTTAAGACCCGAAGCTCTGGCATTGTGCTCACAGCTGTCGTGTTAACTCTGTGCAAAAATGAGCAAATTATAAAGCACTGCAGGGTCTTTTGTTTTGTGAACACCATGTTTACAAATAAATTTGATAAAGGAATGAAAAAAATCAGGCTTTGTGTAAAGGGAGGACATAAGCTGAGTGGGTGGTCCTTCAGTTGTTCAAGGGCAAAGAATAGGGTGCCCCCTGCCCTTTTGATTTGTGCATTACACTCTTCTTTGTTCACATTCTGTTTTATCTGAACAATTGGTCTTTGTACTTTTTTCAATATATATATACTCTCTGTAATCAGACAAATTACTGTTTAACAAATGCATAATCCCTTTTATCACATATAATGTACGTTTTATATGATATTTAGTGACTTTTTTTGTTTCTCTCTGTTTTGCAGGAGAGGAGAGACATCCTACATACCGCAGCAGTTGCATACATCAGTCCCCGCTGAATAAAAGATGAACTGAGGACCTATTCCACGGCACCACGTCCCATATCACTGCAGCACCTGCTCTTCACTCCTGCTGGCCTCTCAGAGCAAGAGTTAACAGTGTTGCCTCACCACACCTGAACACAGAAATGCACATGCATGCATGTCCTCGAAATGCATGACTGTGTTTGAGTGTGTTTCCGGTTCACTTCCATACTCATCTTCAGAGAATTTTTTTTTCCACTTGACTGACTTCAACATTTGTGTTCACAACTACAAAGCGTAATGGGGAGGAAAAAGATTCAGATCCAAAGGATCACTGATGAAAGGAACAAACAGGTGAGTTGTAACTGTGAAACAGCAGGTTTTTATTAATCTAGTAAATTCATCCAATCAGTCTGCTCAAGAAAGTTAAAATCTCACAATTTGAGCCATTTTCAAATTTATCAATAATTATTTAAGGGAGTTGAGAATGTTGGTTTCTATAACCATGATTATAATAAAAATGCTACAATGTCTTGAACATAGATACAGATAAGTCTCCAAACAATCCAAATCCTTCAATGCTCCAATCCCAATTCTGCTGACAGTTGCAAGGAAATGACTGAAACCCTCCAAGTAGAGTCTCAAATACTACAAATTCCATATATGTATGTCAAATAAATAAACTTTGCTAGTTTATTCTCACAGAATAAACCTTTGATAACCTAAAATCAATATAAGATGTGTGGATGGGGATGAAGAAGATTGCAGGTTTCAATCAGAAGGAGGATCTGACAGATGGGAGTCTGGATAGAGCCATTAAACGGAACACATTCTTCAATAAATTCAGTTCAGGAACAAGCTCAGCATCCTTCTCTCCTGCTCACAGTCAAACATACAGCTCTCCTTTGATCCAAAGCATCTTTGTCACACCTAAAATATTTTATTGTCCAATGTGGCATGGACCCCCCTGTTTCTATGAATTAGTTCTTAACCAAGAGACTAAATTTTAATAATAAGACACCAGGTCCAGATGCTGTCAGCTCGAGTCCTGAAGGCAAGTCTCAAGCAGTTTTGTCAGATTCTACAGAACCTCTTCAACCTTAGCCTGACCCAGGAAATGGTCCCACTGATATAAAAAAAGAACAGTCCTTAGTGACCTGTTGACCTGACATCCCACATTATAAAGGCCCTACAGATTGTCCAATTGTTTCGCCTGAGCAAGCCATCGTTACATTATCTGAAGTTTGATTATTGCCACAAAGTAGTTCAAAATTACATCATATACCTTCTTCATTTAGACAAGGATAACGATAAGGGCAAAAAGGAGGTAAAAGCAATCTGGTATCTCATGGGGGCAATGATTATATATTAATCTCAATGCAACTTTAAGATTTAAAGCTTAATACTGTCCTTCTCTACAGAACAGATTTTAGTTTGTGTGCAGGATTCCTTAATGATGCACCCCTTGAGGAGTGCACACATAAAGCTGGGCTTGGTTAAAATTATTTATTTGGATGGCGCTCTCGGCAAAGATCAGCCTTCTGGATGAACCCCTCGTATTATTTCTGATACATTGAGTTCCAAAGTTTGTTGAGGTGGAAAGCTTGCTACTGGAAATCTGTGCTTTATGGTATGACAGGAAAGCAACAATTGACTTGTTTTGACATAATAACTTGGTAGCATGATGCCGTTCACACTGAAATGAGGTTTCGCTGACTTGGTGTAACCCAGAAGAATTTAAACCGTGGAGAGCATGTAGCATTATTCTACTGAGACAGGGTTGTTGACAGTTAACAAATACGCAAAATATTATTATTATCCTATTTGATAAGTTAGTAAGTATAATAACTAATCCACAACTCCTCAATCCCAAAAATAGAAACAAGAGATGTGTGTTTAACCTATGACATTCTGTGCATATCATGAGTTCATCTTTAGTAAATCCCAGCTGCTGAGAATATATTTTAGTTTGGGACTGTGTGGGTCGTTTAAAGACTTCTCACCAGTATTTGTCTGAAAGCTTTATTCAAATATACCATTTCTGTAAAAGCAATGTCAATAGATGTATTGTAGAACCTTAGTGTATGCAGAGTAGTATACAGTAACAATAGACAGCTCTATGCTGTGTCTCTGATTTTGGTTTGTATAACTCACATTTTCCACAGTAGGAGAAATAGAAAATGCCTCTTCATCCCAATCTTGCAAGCTGTTCATTTATCTGTTTTTCTTTTTTTTTTTTTTTCAAGTTTCTGCCACCTTTTTTCACATCGAGGATGGTTCCACAATTAGTTTTTTCCTTTTCCAGCATAGATCAAAAGCTTACTTTTAATCAAACCACTTATTAGCTTTCTAAATGTCATCAGTCCCTGGCTTGTGGTGTTTCTTTTTCCTTCAGCATTTTTAGAGAACATTCATTAATTTCTTAGACTGTCTGACAGAAATTCTGGAGACAAGCTTAGTTTTCTAAACACAGTATTTGATTGTTGTTCTTAAAATGGATTTAGAGTTGCAGCCAAGAGCTCCCTAACGGTTTGTTTTGTCACATAGTTTGAGGAGGACGCTGTTATTTTAGTTCATTTGTCCTCAATAGCTTTCTCCAAACACTATCCAGTAATAACTTCTAAACAAAGGTGAAGTATAACATCCACTGAATTGCTTTGGAAAATTGAATTTGTGAGCCTGATTTTGTCAATTAATAGTTTTTTATTGCTTATATTTAATATCTAGAACATTTATTGTTTTCGGTGTTAGTCCGTCTGTTTTGGTAAACCTCGTTTTTGCAAACAAAAAACAACCATTATTAAATTAAACTCCCCATGCTTCATCCTTATGAAGAAAAGAAAACCCAGCAAAACTGGCGAAAATGTGAGCTTTTTACTTTATTGATGAATAAAAAACAACTTATTGAGACCTTTTGAAAATAATACTTAGTGTGATCGACATATTAATGTACAGGGGTAAATTAGGGCATTTTGGGGAAAAAATTAACCTTTGATAAGTTTTCTGCTTGGAAGGGAACAAAAACAAATAACATTTCACATAATACAATATCTTGAACTGTTAAGTTGACCTTTTATTATTTTAAATGAATAAACACTAAATACAAAAGAATCAGGAGCTTGTAATGTTTTTAAAAAAATTCTAAACAGTTGAATAAATTCAAAATTAAATCAAATAAACTATTTTAAACAAAAAAGTGATTTTGTTGTTTTTAAAATTATTTTTATTATTATTATTATTTTATTTATTTATTTATTTATTTTTTTTTTCACACTAGTCACTTCCCCCTCTGTCAATATGAAAAGTTACCAAAATTAAAGAAAGAATCAGAAATAGAAGTATGGTTTGCCACAGGCTGTTTATATCTACATTGGGAAAGCTTTGTCCCGGATTTAATAACCAAGGATTTAAAGTAGTTTTTATAATCCACTCCTGGTCTACTGTAGGAGAATGTGGTTCATTGTCTTCATTAAATTATACTGACCACTAGGATTCCATTGGAGTTTTATTTTTTCCATTTTTTTTCCTGGGCCATGATTATATTTTGTAAACACAGACTGACCCTATTGAGGATAAAGCCACCATTTGTACTCCATATTAATAATGAAAACTTCCCTACTAAGAGAAATAAAAAATAAAAAAATTGTTATAGTTGTGTATATACAGAAAACAGTACTTAACATCAGGTACGAGAAAAGCCAACCCATATCTTTTTCACCAAAGGGTTACATAAACTTTAAACAAAAGCAGAATGAAGCAGAGTGTTTCTCTAAACTTTCTAATAACAGAGGTTTTAGAGGCAGGCCTTTGTATTCTGATATAAATTTTTTGGCTAATATCCGACTGATTCCCATATCGATTTTGGATCGGGACAACATTGTTCAAAAACAACTGGTATGAGAACAACTCAACTATTTATTAACCGATGGGTATCAGAAACTTAAAAGAGAAGTGGAGTGTTTCTATTAGCATTCTGATGTTGGAGATTCTTGATGCAGGCTGATATATTCTGATATTTGTCTTTTGGCTGATGTCACACTGATTTCAGATATCTGTATCGATTGGTACATCCCTGTATGTAAATATTTCTTGTACTCTGTTTTGAGATTCAAGCAATTTAAAAGCATAAAATGGGTCTAATCAGGTGTCTGAAGATTGGTCCACATTTAATGCCCATTTAACATTTTTGTGCCTCTGTCTTTCAGGTCACATTTACAAAGCGAAAGTTTGGCTTGATGAAGAAAGCCTATGAGCTGAGTGTGTTGTGTGACTGTGAGATTGCCCTGATCATCTTCAACCACGCCAACAAGCTGTTCCAGTATGCCAGCACTGACATGGACAAGGTCCTTCTCAAATACACAGAGTACAATGAGCCCCACGAGAGCCGAACCAACGCAGATATCATTGAGGTAAATTCAACCCATCGGCCTCTACCTGAAGGGGTATTAACATATTTACAAAACAACGTGTTTTTTTCTTGGGCTATTAAATTCAGATGTTTGTAAAAAAGTACTAGGAGAGAAAAGAAAACAGAATAAGTTGGAAAGGGTACATCAGTCCTCAAACACAACTCTGTATAATTAGATTTTCTGGGAAGTGATTACAGTGCAAAGGTTGATGAATAATTGTGTAAAACAAAATATGTCATGTATAAAACATGGGACATTACTTGCCTAATCCACCTCTAAATGGAGTGTATGTATTACTTATTATCTTTCAGTATTCACATTTCAGGCAGCTATGAAAAACACTGTGATCAATACTTGATTTTTAAGCATTTAGTTTTTACAGTCTGTTCTGCAGTGAGCTATTTATTTTTCAACTGGACCCAGGTCACTTTGATACATATTTAATCCTACAAACAAGATATGTTAACAAGTAAATTCTAATATTGCCGAGGAGAACTGACAGAATCTCCATTCAGTATTTGCACACTAACCCCAAAATCTTTGAAAGTTGGAAGTTTCAGCATCCATCCCATGTTGTACAGAACGACACTTCTCACATCAAACTGCTTGTGTCAGACTAATAATAACATGCTAGTCATTGACTAGCATATGTCTCCCTTTAAAATAAATGAATGTGATAATAGCAGCAACACCAGAGCTGTGCAAAAAGGACAGCAGCATAATATTTAAATGACTAAAAAAGAAACTGAAAAAATTTGACAATTTATTGAGGTTGTTTGGAACAGTGATGGTTATAGATAGGTATATCTTACAGCCGCTGGGTGGAAGGACCTGTGATAACGTTTCCTGGTGCATTTAGGGTGCTACAGTCTGTCACTGAATTAGCTTAACAATTTAGCAACAGCTTCATGGATGGGCTGGTAGACATATCCAACAGAGATGTTATTTTAATTAGGGTTGGGTTTTTTTCCGCCTCCTGTGCTGAGTCCAGAGGGCAATTAGCTGTCCTTAATGAGCCTAAATCTAGTGCTGAGGAGATGGTGACGATTGAGAGGGAAGACTTGTGAAGAAAATACTGGTTAAACAGAATATCATCTAAAATTAAACCATAAATCACATCTCTATGTTTTGCTGATATTGTACCGGTCCACTTTTTTAAATCAGTGAGCCTCGTTCGGTCGTGTCATTTTTGATCTGTACCTCTGTTTACGAAATTTGGTTCAACTTTGACCAATTTGAGATGTTCATGTTTGCTAAAGTTTCTTTCTAAACACTGATAAATTGTACATTACATAAGTTCATTGAATGTTCTCTCTCCCTCATCTGATTTCTAGACTTTGAGAAAGAAAGGTTTTAATGGCTGCGACAGTCCAGAGCCGGACGGTGAAGACTCCATTGACCAGAGTCCTCTAAATGACGACAAGTTTCGTAAAACCACAGAGGACCTGGATGTCCTCTTCAAACGCTACGGAGTAAGTTCCAACTTCTTATCCCTCTCTGTGATGGCTTCCTTTTGATTTGTCAGTAAAATCTTATGTTTTTCTTTTTGCTACAAATAACGTCAAAATAGCCACTTCTCCAGAGATGACCATCGATCTACTCTCACAAACTTGTCTTTAGTTTCTAAGACAAACCTTGAATAGTCAAAAAGAGCTTAACTATATGAATCCAAATCTTGCCCCATTCGAACAAATCTTATGAACTGACTTCCTAGATATCTGTGTTGTTGTAGCCTGAAAAATACAGTTTTCTGATAACAATTCTAAGTAAGATGTTTTCATAACCTTTTAGTGGTATTTAATAAATATTTTCAAAAATAAACATGTAATACTAAAATAGATGTGGACTTAGAAATGATCAAATATGGAAACCAAATTAGCACATGTGAAGGTGATATATTGGAGGAGAAAAGGGAGAGCTGTGGAAATGTGCAAGAGGATTAAATTGAATTAACAGAATTAAAAAACATGTGCAGAATAACAGTGTAGATTGGTGTGCAACTTATTTTAAAATGCTGCCATCAGTAAGAGGTATGGTTTATCTCATTACATTTTTATTCATCAAAAATACTAAGCATTTTGTGGAAATTGTGGCTAGCATTTTCATTCTTTTAATTATTATTTCCTTTATTTAATTTTTGTTTGTTTGATTTTTCCAAGTCTCTCTTATAAAAGAGATTCGTAATCTCAATGAGGCATACCTGGTTAAGTAGAGGTTACATACCTAAATTTGTATTATTATTAAATAGTTATGTCAGATTACATGTGACATCTCTTATATGTCCCTTGGTTATTAATGTTGTAAGTGGAGTGTGCAAAAACATATGAGCAGTTAGCGATATACCAAGATATTCAACAGTTGAGAGTTTAAAACTTTTTTTATCACTGTGTTTCAAAGGCTTTGATGGAGATGTCTGAGAAAGTAACTAGTTGGCCCATAGAGTAGTACCGTGCTTTTTGGCTTAGCTGAAAGAAAACTCCATTAATTCTCCATGGCTTCCAAGAAAGATGCAGAAAGACAGCCGTTTAGAAGCATTTCCAAAAACACAATGCCCAGACAGTAGATATGAAAAAGTGCAGGAAATTCCAAACATTTCAAACATAATTTCCAACAAAATAAGCACAACTTTATTCAACATAATTCTAAGGTATTAGAAGAAAACATCAAATCCTGTTATTGGGGTAACATCTCTGTAGTAATTAATTTTATACTTATTTTCAATAAGTAGTAGTATGAGTCATTTAGATAAATCGTTACACCAATAATTGTTTAAGCAAGCCTTTTTTAAAGTTAAATGTTTAAAGTGAAACTGATATTTTAACTTAAGTTAAATATCTAAGAACAAAGAAAAATAAATACCATTTACCTTCAAACTATGATAGATCTCAGCTTGTTATAAGTTGTGGACTAAATCAAAGCCTTATCCTGCAGCAGACCGCCGCCCTGCCCCAGACCTTCTCCATGCCAGTCACTGTCCAGGCGTCCAATCAGAGCACACTGCAGTTCAGTAATCCTGGCAGCGCACTGGTAACTACCTCCTATGTCACCTCAACATCGCTCACGGATACCCACCTCCTGTCACCACAGCAACCGACTCTCCAGAGAAATACAGTGTCTCCGGGGTTGCCACAGCGACCAGCCAGTGCAGGTGAGCATGCCGCCTAACACCAGCACAAAACAGCTGTCGATGGTCTGCAGAGCACAGGCTTTGCTAAAAAGTTTCTTCTATTTTATGATGCTTTGTTAGAATCCACTGGTTGAAGTTAATCATCAAATCACTGCTGTTGGATTAGCTCAATTAAACTCCAGTTAATGTCATTTTGTTGACATCCGTGCATCATTTGTATGGATGCATCATACAAAAGTATTTTTTTCTAGTTTAGGTCCAAAATACAAAAAAAATAAAAAAAAATCTCTGATTGATCTATATGAAATTCAAAACCATGTTGTAATCATGTATGTTTTGTTTTTTATTTCTCTAAATTGGTTTAAAATGAAGGAGTTTGTTGCATGTTAGGGTTTTAAATTTCTTTGATTATTTATTTCAGTTTTGGGTTTCAACCCTGTGAAAGCTTTAGTGGTTCATTGAATGTACAAAATGGTATCTTCTGTCTTTAAACATTCAATAGTCTTTCTTTTTCTCAAATATTTTAACTGTCTTGTGTGGATAATAACTTTTTATCTTTTACTTTCCTAAGACTGATTGTCAAGCCCTCTTTGGAAAAAAAGTTAACACAATTTTTTTTTGGTCATTATATAAGAAAACAATAAAATTTTTGTTCAGCTTAAGCTGCCTTCAAAGTGGGAAAATATCCTTTAATTCTGTCACAGTTAAGTTTTTTATGTCTTTAGGGCATCATGTGTCAAATAAGAGCTTATTAAGTTAATCTCTGTTGAACTGTTTTCATGTATGCATTATAAACATTTTGTAGACTAAAAGTCATGCATTTTAAGCAGTTACACCCATAGTAAAGGTTAAAACACCATCCTTGTCCTGAAGGGATGGGCTAATGTGACTCTGCACGATGTGAGAGAGTCTGTGTTGCCACTGTGTCAAAGTCTTTGTTGTAATAATCACTGTAGGAGAGGAGATACAAGTGAAATAAAAAAAACAAATACCCATGCAACTATTGAAACAGTCACATCTTCCAAAAACTACCCATTTATATGCCTCAAAACAAGCTGTTATGTTTTTCTCAGGCACAAAATTAGTGTTTAGGAAAGTTATTTCAGATGCAGCGAACTTTTTAATTTTTTAGTGACTTTTTTCCCTCTTAATCCACTAAAACAGAACCTCTTGATTTTTGACCTACATACATTTTTTGGCTCAGTATCCTTGCATATGAATGCATTCCCCAAAGGAGGACCAGTGTTATATGTACATATTTGAATGTTGTGCTACAAATTTTACCACTGTCCTATGAAAAAGACAACACATGAATGTGCAAATGATTCATCCTACACTCACTAATATGTGCCGAGCAATATTGTTACAATATTTCATCAAATACTCAGAAAAAGCTGATAAGAATATAGAGGTAGACTTTGAAACTCAATTGGATAATGCAATTGATAATGCAAAGGACATCAAAGCATTTTTTTCCTAGATGGAGAAAAAATTGCAACCAGTATAGAAACCAGGATTTGTCATTTAGTATGACCTAAAGTAGTGTAAATGGGTTTTATACACTAACGTCTTGCCATCTATAATCTTCCACAACGTTTAGTGAAATGGTGTTTAAAGTTTAAAGTGTGTATTTTATTGCTACATCTAAAAAAAATAGATTGTTTATTTTGATTTGGTTCGTTAGTTCTTTATGAAATTGCTCCTCCTTTTTTGCTTATATCCAACCTGATTTTATTTAAAGCTGCAGTGTGTAATAATTACAGGGATATACAGTCAGAAATATAACACATAGTTATACATAACTATGTTATTTATCATCATCTACGAGCTCAGCCTCTTAACCTTAATATTTGCGTTGCCTTAGAATTCGTTATTTATAATTACATAGGAGCGGGTCTCGCAGCCATGGAGGCAGACATCTTTGCGCTACGGCAGCGCAGAGCCAACAAACTAGCCATTGCGAGATCGCCCATTATGGGTATATTTATTATCTTAAGTCTACATGAAATCTATACCCTACACAGACTAATGAAATACTATCTGTAAAATTATCTATGTAAACAAACCTCATCACTTGAGAAGGTAGGTGATGCGGACGTCGTGGAAGACATTTTGTCCCGTAACGCTCGCCGTACTGTTGGGGGGGAGAAGCGGTGGGGGGGAGATGTTCATGTTGCTGCGGTCTGCAGTCTGAACGTTAGATGTCGCTGAAAATTACACACTGTAGCTTTAAACATCTTTTATATGTAAATTATGTTCTACATAAAATAGGACAAAAGTTTAAAAAAAAAAGTTGCAGTTAACAGGATTTTACTAATATTCTAGATAGAAATGGTTATAGAGTTTACAGCTTATGTTGGTTATTTGCATGGATAGCGCCGCAAGCATTATGAAAAAGTCAATAAGCAGTATATATATCAGTATATATATTGTATATCATCCAAGTTGTAAATAATAAGGTTTACTGAGATTTTCTAAAAGGCCATCAACATTTAGTCGAGCTTTTTCCACAAAATTGAAAGCTTAAAAGGGATATGACTTGCAAAGTCTGTCAAGATCTTTTTCTCTCTCTGGCTAAATTAAGTGCATGTTTTTGCAAGTCATCAAAATGCAGTTTCTCATTAAATTTCTTCTCATAACAGCTGATTTTTCGGTTTATATTTGACTGAAAACACCAAAACCCTTTTTTTGTTTCTTGAAAACCATAAAAGCAGTGGAGCCTAAGACAAACAGGATATTCTCTATCTCTTTTTGTCAACACACACTGCCTGCACATAATAAGAAAACCTGACATTTAAAGTACTGTATACAACTTTCTGATTACTCTGTGGTGTAAACTGAAAGGGATTTAACCTTAAAAACTCTCATTAAGATTGCATATCACTTGTCACTTGGCACGACTGTTAAGTTTAATTCAATTTTTTGATCTGTAATTTTGATTTAGTGTGTTTGTTACAAAACTAAATGGCCTTTGCTTACATTTGTATTTATTCTTTTGACAGGAGCTCTCCTCGGAGGGGACTTAAATAATTCAAATGGAGGATGTCCAAGTCCAGTCTGTGAGTAGATTATTTACTTTTATGTAAAACCAAAAGTATTATCAGTCATGGTTTTTCACTTTTGCATCTTTTTTGAATGTTATCAAGTCATTATTTCTCATTTGCACCATCTGTGATTGGACGGTAACGAAAGGGATTCTCTATTTTAGGCCTCGTGACATCCTCAGCATACCACAATTTGACATTGTCTCTTGCTTTATGAAAAGGTGTTCAATGAATTTTTTTCTAAAAGTAAATGAGATTCTTAAACTCTTATTTATCGAAGATTAGATAGAGAGCATAAAGACACCATAGAGGGGCTTAAAAGGACCATATTTCCCTGCTCATCTCTAATCATGCTCAATATCCCTCCTTCTATTGACCCAACCCCTCTGATGTTTTGACATTGGCGCATCGTCAAACATTTTGTTAGTTTTACTGGTATTTGAATGTGAACCCTTTAGAGGAATATTTAAGCGTGTATCACAACTCGCACCCTGTCCGTACCCATACTGTCTGATCTATCCTGTTTGATCTTTATTGATTTCCATGCATTCAAACCTCTGTCTCCCCCGCAGCTAATGGATACACCAGCGCCAGGGCCTCCCCAGGTCTGCTCACCGTCTCCAACGGCAACAGCCTGGGGAAAGTAGTTCCGGCCAAGTCTCCGCCCCCACCACCCAGCCCGCAGATGGTCAACAGCCGTAAGCCAGACCTCCAAGTCATCACCTCACAGGGTGGAAAGAGTCTCATGCAGATGGTGAGATCAGCGAAGTTAAACTATGGTCGCCTGGGTACATCTAGTTTCAACCACTCAGTCTGAAGCTTATGCAGATAACAATTTTTGATTATTACAAAGCATACAGATTTGATTTTAAATAGTGTTATCAATTAGGTACAAAGATATAATGAGTTCTCTCTCCTAGTTTTCATCTCTTTTCTGAAAAAACAAATCCTATTTTCAGTTTCCAGAATGCACCTGACTGCACAGGAAATAGCTAAAAACCACATTCCCCTTTATTTGGGTAAAAGAAATAACCGAGGGGTGAGATTGTTTCATGTTTTGGGCTTAGATTAGCCCAGTTTTGCCCAGGATGTTTCTGTAGCGAAATATTTATTTCTCTCCCTACTTTCTCAATATCAGAGTGCTTTCTTCAGATTTAACGTTCTCTTTTAAGTCTGTATTGTTCTAAATTTTCAGTAGCACCAACATGTTCTTAGTTGTGCAAATCTCAATTCTCAATTGTTTTGGATGTTTGTATCTCAGTGACAACTTGTTCATATGAAACCAAAGAATTTAATATTGGTGTCATTTTACGAAGCTCTATTGTCATAGTATTTTATTGGCTTAAAATGGCTTCAATTAGCTTATTTTCAACAGTCAAGTCTTGTGCAGTGGGTTTAGAAAGAAGGCACTGCACACACTAAATATCTATCTTAAAATCTAACTCTAAAGGTGCTTTTACACCAAACATAAACCGTGCAAATGTTTTTCGTTTTTTGCCAGGTGTTAGTCACTTGACATTTGTCTCTTTCGCCAACAATTGGCACATTGCAGTGAAATTCCACCTGGCCTTGCTTCGCTGCTTCATCTATTAGGAGGCATGTCCTTGCACTTTTCTGTGTCTCTTGTCGGTTCGAGTCAGTATAGACCTCCGCTGGGCTCCATCATCCTAAATCGCAACCAGATCCTGGATTAGTTAACGCAATGCAAGTTGACAGAAAAGTCTGGATTTGACTCCAGCAAAATTTTGTTTCATTCTATTTGCGCATCCAACGCGCATTTCAGTCTCATGCCCCATTTACTATAAGTATTGCTAAGTATGTCTTTTTTTGTCATGCTACAAATGTATTGCGTAATGTACTCGAATTTGCTAGCCTTTCGAGCAGAGATAGGTTATTCTGCTCCGCAATGCATCAAGTTTGTTCCATGACCTTGTTGCATATTGAATTGAATTCAGTTTATTTATATTGTGTCATTTCATAACACATCATCTCAAGGCTCTTTACTGAGATGATACAGTCGGTGTAAATAATCCTGGACCGGACTCTGGATAGATTCTTTATTTCTCTTGCAAATACTAGTGAGGTTCGTCTTAAGAACAATCAGCAGCACCCAACAAAGAGATCAAGTAAATCCCTCGCTCCATATTTTTTGTGTTTGGTGTCAAAGCACTGCCAGCTTTTCTAATCCTGTACGTTTTATGAGAGTAAAACCTCAAACGAATCAAACAGAGCAACTTTTTTCTACTTCTTAAGCCTTCCTGTTATCTATTACAATCTTATTCCTGTCTTTCAAAAAAAAAAATTAAAACAGATGCATCAGCAGAAATTGCTGCATTAAAATTATGCAATTTTGCATTATTATTTAAAAAAATAAAGAAATTAAAGTATTTTCCCATCAGTAACTACAGAAACCCACACATCTACGTATGTTGTGGTTAGCGTGACCTGTTGGCGCTTAAATATGAAACAGGGGTCTGATCTTTTTGTTGATGACTGGAAGGTCATTAGGGCTGATCAAGTTGGCTTCTTACTAAAGAAGAATAAAATCAATCAATGCACTCATTGGTTACACATTTATAGTTTAAAATAATCAAGTTTTTATAAATTTTCTTCAGTTTCACTCAGACATGAGCATAGGATAACTCTCATAGGATAAGTCTGACAGTGCCGAGTTTGTTAAGGGTCATAATGATTATGTCTGTGAATCTCTCAGGGGTTTGGTGACAAATTCTCAATTTTGACTCACAAAATAAGACTAGAAGTTTATTGTTTGCTTAAACATCAGTTTTTGAAAAACATTTCTAGAAATGCAACTGTTTTATTTTTACCAGTGAGCTGTTGTACCTGTAGTGTTACCAGCGGGGACGATGACTTTAATGAAGTAGCATCAGTTTAGGTTTTGATTTTATTGTTTTATGCAGCCTCGCCAGAGTTATAACCCTCTCTGTTACAACTCATTGCAGACAGAGGATGAACTGGAATTGGTAAACGAGGTGATCCCTCACACCCCCACCTCCCACCACAAACACATATATCACTCGCATGGGTCGATGCCAGTCAGTTGTCTGCACATTATTAGCATGAGTGCAGGACTCTGCAGGAGTTTCAGTCTCGTTTCACCAACATTTCCCTCAGATGGTGTGTAGTTTGACTGACTGCATGTGGTTCAGGATACGTGGATGTTTCTTCAAGCATTTGTCTTTAGTTGTTAGAGATATTTTTGAATCCAGCCCTCTACAATAATCTCGTTCATGGTACTTTAGCGGGAATGTTCGCCTGATTTCCTGGAGGTTTGAATTGGACTCACTTCATCTACTGTATGGTGCTATCTAAAGCATGGGTGTTGTTCTCACTTAGCATTGTGGTGCGAAGCACCGCAAGGCATGTTTCACTGTTCATCGATAGTCTCACACACTCATTCTCACTCTCCAACACAATGTTTGAGATTATTTTTTTTTATAACTGCTTTGAATTACATTAAAGGCATTTAACCATCAATGTTGTTTCACCTATAACCACTGGCTTCCAGAGTTTGGGATAAAGCAAGATATTTCAGAAAAGCTTTGGAAAAAAGATAAACATTTAAGATATCTTAAAAAAAATCTGGAATGAATGTTGTGCGAGGTTACACCATCATAAATGGGGTGAAAAAGTGTATTTATGTGGAAGCTGTTTAAGTGATTGTCTTAAATAAAAAACTTCTTAGCATTCTGCATACAGGCCAACCAACTTTTACCAGCGTCCAAGTGTGTTCGACTTCTAGTTTTACTTTCACTCTTTCAATTCTGTAAATTAAATTGCTCCTATTGTGACACATCTGTGGTAGTCAAAGCAAGCAAAAACATGCTTATTTAATTCAACACCTGCAGTGACAATGTTAGCATGATTACAGATTTAATAATGCTTGTTTTCTTCTATAAAAACATTGAACAAACTAGAATTATCCCTTATTTGCTCCTGAGCGGGTGTATATTTATGTTTATTAGCATAAAAGTGGCAAGCAAATTAAAGCAAACGAGTAGAAACGGTAGAAATACAAATTTAAAAAGGAGTGTAGATGAAGGTCAAATTTACAGTGCAAGATAAACAATACAACTATAAAAATATCAGTTTTCAAATTGGAACAATGCATCCCTTTTCTATATGCTGCAAACAAAATAATAAGATAATAGTTATTCAGCTAAATGTGTTTTTAGGAGTAATTTTTGCTGCTTGCAGCAGATGGTCGCTGTCCTTCTCCCTGTTTTACAATTTTGTCTTAAAGTCTACTGTCTAGGTTCTCATTTTCCAGAAGATGGCAATTAATTTTCATCACTTCACAGTGCCAGGTCCCTCACTCCTCTTCCTCGCAAAGCCAGATAATGAAATCTTACACTCTTTGAGGTCTGCCTCGGCTCTCTTTGTGGATTTAGTGCAATTCCAAACTTGATGAACGTTTCTTAGCTCATATAAAGGTAATTCTAGTGTAAGATTACCACATTTTTGGCTTCTTACTGCAAAGCCTTTTTATATCCACTGATAATTCAAGAGATAAACCTAAAAATAGATTGCCTCTTCTGTGGTTAATTCATTGTAAAGTAGTAAAGAGGCATGGAAGACTTTAAACATTAAAGGGATATGTCAGATATTAAAAAACTGATACATTTTCGATTATTCTGTATTTTTTAAAACATCATTGACATTAAGATAAACAGAAATGTAAATATATAAATAAAATGTTTTCAGTTCACCACTCTTTTGATACATGAAAACGGAAGAAATTGGTGATCTGACTTTATTTTTTACCAGCATTTTGTAATTAATAAATTTAAAAAAAGTATGAAGATTTTAAAGAGGAGAGGATTTTATCATTTAAATCATGCTCCACTTTGCAGCTCAAGTTAGTGGTGATGGGTGTAGTTCCAGTAATCTGATAACAGCAGAACAAATATTTTTATTTAGAAGATTAGCGTTTTTGCTTTTGTTTGGGAACAGTAAGTAGTAAATTGAGGTTTGCCAACTTTAAGTCCACTTACAAAATTCTCTAAGTGTGTTTCATTTTGTCTCGTGCGTATGTTGACGATTCTGCAGCCATGCTTTTGGCAATACAGTAGCAGCTAGCTGAAAGTACACTGATGGATTTCTATGTGAGCACATTAGAAGATGTCACTGTGTGATGTACAATGTTCATCAGCTGGCTGGTACCAGTTTTTAATCGGATTGGACAGCAGGATTGTAGACTCGTTTGTTGAGAACATGCTACCTTTTCATGCTGTAGGTTTTTCACCTTTGCTGCTCTGATAAAGATACTCAACCCTAAAAACATTTCCATGTCTAACCCCACTTTGGACAGGACAATCTTGGCCAACCATAAATGGCTGGAAGAGTATCTTACGTTTACACAACTTTGTTGAGTTACTATAATAGTACATTTTAACTGATAGAATATAATTACTTATTAAGTAATTGTTTTCTTACCCAATGTAACTAAGAAATGTCAAACTTTATATTTACAGTATATATAAATTTCATTAGATTCTGCAAAGCCAAAAAGGCAACCTTTAATAACAAATAAATGAACCTAATGAATGTGAGTAACTTTGCAGTGGTTGGGGTTAACTTCCACCATTTCTTTTAGCCATTCAGCGCTTTATTTGATATTTATTTTACGCCTGTAGGACACCATAATACAGAGCTTGTTTTGTTAAAAATAACAGCAACAGTTTTAAATCTGCTGCTTTAATCACAATCAGAATGAATTTTTAGCATTTTCTTGAATTGCTAAATAAAAATTGCCTCAGGAAATAGTCAATTAAAATGTTTGGTAAATTGTAATCTGACAAATGTGTTTCTTTTATTGAAGTATAAAGCTGATATACTTCAGACTAATGGTTTAATACATATATTTTCCTCCTAATGGTGCAGTTATAAGTTTAACAAAAGCTTTATTTGAATCAGAATCATTCTTTTTTCAATCCTAATCCACCGTTGTAACCAAAGGTTGAATAAATTGCCTTTGATGTAATTCTCTTCCATAATTTATAAATGTAAGGGAGTGTGTTTTTTGATCTACGTCATCAAGAACGCACAGAGAGGTTTACTAAGTGTGTAACATCGTTCTGAGTCCAGCCATGTGTGCATCTGTCATTCCCAGCATGTCCAAATCAAATGTACTGAAATTGATCCTAACTCTGGCTCACATAGTGGATGTCCTTGTTTTAGTTTTTGTTGATGTTATTTCATTCCTTGTCAGAATGCCCAGCGGCTGGCAGCAGGAGCCCAAGTGGCACAAACGCTCACCACGCCCGTGGTGTCTGTAGCCACACCGAGCCTCCTGGCACAGGGTTTGCCCTTCTCTGCCATACCTACAGCATACAACACAGGTAAGGGGGAAAATTCATAAGACTGAAAATTAGTTGGGAATGGAAGAGAGCGGAAGCTGTAAATGATTTTACACAATTACATTTTCAAAAGGTCTAAAATCCTTAGAGATAAAGTGTTTTTTCACAATGAGTAATATCTAAAGTATATCCTGAAGATCATTCAAAGAAACCAGCATGTCATTAGCAGAGAGTTTTGTATGCTTAAAAAGAAATACATAAACATTGAACTAACTTATTTTAATTTTAATTTTGATAGTGGTTGTTAAAGATAAAAAATGATAGAAAGATAGCGGTGAGCTGATAAGAGTCATCCAGTAATCGTTTAGATTTAAAAAAGAAAGATGTGGAACCCCTTATACATGTTTTTAATCCCCTTAAAAAAAGCAGTAGTTTTGAAATAAATAAAAACAGCTGTCATTAAAAAAAACTTTCAAAAAAGGATTTTTCGGTTTCTCAACAATCAATGAAAAACCCTTGATATACATTTCAATAACAAATAATTTTGATGCGCAGTATCTTTTAAAAAACCTTTTGTAGTGTTTTTTGATGCACCATTGTCTCTATTTAAGTATTGATAAATATATAGATTGCTTTGAGCTTTTTTTATCGTAAATTAAAGGCTTATCACAAATATTTTTACTGTTGTAGTATTATACATATTATACATAGTATTATATGTAGCATATAATTTTTCATTGTTTGGACCAGTCCCTTTGTTTAAATGTGAAACAATTAAAGTGTTTTCTTGCTAAATGAGCTTCAGCTGTTGGTTTTATCTGGGCTTACACAGAAGTGGGAATAAGAATTTAAATGTAACTTCTATTTTCCCTCAGAGTACCAGCTCACCAGTGCAGACATCACTGCTTTACACGCTCTTGCGTCCCCCGGCGGCTTGTTGCCGACTAGTGTGTCCACCTGGCAACAACAGCAAGCTGTTTCCCAGCAACAGCCACAACAACAGCAACAACAGCTTAACCTTGCTTCTCTCAGCAACTTGGTGTAAGTCTGTTTTTTTTTTTTTTGTCTTTTTCTTTATTATTTTTTTTTTTCAAATATTAGGAAGTTGGTTGAAACATCCTCATCTAACAGCTCCAAGCCCTCTGTTAACATCCTTACAGCTCACATACTGACCCTACCAGCTGCTTGCATTATATACATACCATGACCTCAAATGCAAGCAATTTGCATCCTCTTTAGTGAACTGGTTCTGCATGTCACCATTGTCATGACATCAATCTGAATACTTCTCCCTGGCTTGTTTTAAATCAACTACAGTACACGGGGGCTTGATCAAAGTTTTTGTAACTAAATGGCATCTTTGTTCCCACTACTGGAAGTCTTACTTGTGACCGTAACATTTGATTATTGGCCGGGGGTAATTTCTCAACAGTGGCATTACCGTTTTGTCCAAGACGTGTGGGGACCTGCTATTTACAATGGTCTTGTTTTTAAGCTGAAGTACACTTTTAATCATATTATATTAGAAACATGACCATTATGTTCAAGCTTAGGGCAGTTCACGCTGAAAATTATCAGATTACATCCACAAGACGATCTTTCTAGGCCTCAAATATTTTTGGGAACTTTGTTCCAAAAAGGGAAATAAATTGTCTTTCTGTCAGGTAACAGAGAGTTAGATGCTCCGTTTTGTAATTGGTTCTTAGCCAAGTTCTTAATCTGAGTGTTAAAGGTATAGTAGAGGATGTTCTTTTTCTGGGTGGATCATCAAAATAACTGGTCCTCCTAACTGTCAATCATTCTGGTGATATCTTTACATAAGGCTGTCCTACTTGCTTGTCCCCATTTTCAGTTACCGGTGTTGAGTCTGACATTGTGGAAAATTTGCAAATCTTCTTTTGAAAAGAAAGCTTGTATGAGCGATGCAAACAGCAACTTTTAAACAGAGCATGCACGAGGAGAAATAGGCTTGTGCACGCTCTCACACACGTTTAAAAGGTGTTCCCTCTCAGGAGTGGGTACAGGGTTGTGCATGTGCTTTTTTTTAGGTGGAGAGGGCGGGTCTTTTCAAAAATTTGTGAAAATCCTCCACTATACCTTTAAAGCTCAATGATCCATAGGTCAGTTTTGCTGCCTCTAAAACCCTCCTTAGAAAGACTGAGGGACAGGAGTCGAAATTAAGCAAAAAGAAAAAATAATTGAATAAAAGAAACATCTGCAAGAGCTTGAAAATTCTACTTATTTAACTAGAGAGACTTGATGACTAAATGATTGTCTCAGCAGCTTAAAAAAATGTACTTAGTTTTTCATACTGAAGGCATACGGAAAAGATTTATGCAGGAATAATTTGGAACAGCAAATCGAATTGTTAAGGGTTTTGGGGTTTTTTTATGCGCTTGACAATACTGTTTTCCCACAGGAGTTATGACCAGGTAGCATCTGGATTAGACTATTTGTTCGGGTTGAGCTTTGGTTACATGAACAGCAGATCCTTGAAGTGTGTCCTCTCCTCTTGTCCACAGCATGTGGGGCGTGGACAAACAGAGCAGCGAGCTGTCTAGCCAAGTGTCCAGTCTGGCTGCAAATCTGAGGTGAACAGCCACTGCTAGTGTGTGTGAAATGTCATGACTTTGTCTGTGAGATGCGGTGGGGTTCGCTCTGTATTTTTCCTGCCTCAATGCAACACTAATGTCCAGAAGATATTGCATTAGAGTAAGAGATTGGAACTACGTGAGTCAGCGAATTTAAAGGACTAACATTTTTTTGAAGGAGAAAAATTATTTCATATTATTTTAAAAATTACTTATCTAATCATAGTTTAGACCAAAGCCAATTCATGTCTTATAAAGGTCCAATTTAAAGTCCAAACCTTAATTCAAGTGAGAATATGCGAAGGGACTTTAATACACGATGATTACAGAAACTGGTTTCTGCTAATTTATCAGCGTATCAAATGATCTTGATTTGAAAACGAGTCACTAGTCATATTTGCATCAGAGCTTTCTAAGAGTTTATTTGGAGTTTTGGAAAGAAAAAAAAAAGATTCCGCTGCACGCCCTTTAACTGTTTCAAATTTTCATTTTAAACATCTGAGACATTAGATTTACACATGAGAATCCTCAATGGCCCTATACTGTACAAACACGTTAAACCACTAAAAACTTTGTTATATTTTGCAGACATTTACCAAGGCTTTCTTTTAGTTTAAAGCAAAATGTGGTGCTTGTTCCTTGCAATGTCAAGGAATCCTTTTAAAATTTCCTAAATCCGATCATGATCAGGGTCACCGCCAAAACTTAGTGGGTTCTGAGTCGGACTAAGGCACACCTATGGTTCAAGGGGAATCCATCCATTAGTTTTTCTACAGTCTTGTTCACCAACAAACCAAATAAATAATAAACAAATAAATGCTATTAAAAATATTATTCCGTAAAAATTCAAAAAATATCCACTGGACTTGGTTTTCAAGATTTGAAGACGTTTCGCCACCTCTCCAGGAAGCTTTCTCAATTCAAATGTCTGGATCCGCAGTGAGTTTGAGTCTTATATAGACAACGCCTTGTATCGCTTGGAAACATGCAATAGAAACCGATGAATGGGTCGTTAGTTCCATCGTTAGCCTGTAATATCTGAAATTGTCTATGATTCTAGGGGTCGGTCGTTAAAGGGGGGATTGTCATTAAGTGTATTAAGAATATGGACATTCTCAGAATGTCCATATTCTGGATAAAGAAAATAGGTGGTTTGAGAGGGGCGTGAAGGAAGCCATCTATGTTAAGAGAGAAAAACCAACTTTAAACAGAGGTGGTGGACTGAGATTCCAGCTTCCAAAAACATACAATTCAATCATAGACATGATCCCTTCCAGATATCACCAAACCCCCCACCCCATCACAGAGGAACGAGGGACTCACCCGCTCCAGCCGGTGAACTATACCTCCTTAACGACCAACCCTTAACAATCATAGACAGGTTTCAGGTATTACAGGAGACAATCCCCCCCTTAATGACAATCCCCCCTTTAACGACCGACCCCTAGAATCATAGACAGTTTCAGATATTACAGGCTAACGATGGAACTAACGACCCATTCATCGGTTTCTATTGCATGTTTCCAAGCGATACAAGGCGTTGTCTATATAAGACTCAAACTCACTGCGGATCCAGACATTTGAATTGAGAAAGCTTCCTGGAGAGGTGGCGAAACGTCTTCAAATCTTGAAAACCAAGTCCAGTGGATATTTTTTGAATTTTTACGGAATGACTATGACCTGGATGACTGAGAACCTTCATCAGCATTAAAAATATTACCGCCTTTGCAGAAGCAAATATTGAGGGTTCTTAATAAAATGATAACAAATGTTACTGAAGAGCAATTTAAGGTATAAAATAATGTCCAAAATCTGTGAGAAAGCTGATTTCATGAAGATATTAAATCTTCTGGACCTATGTTCTGATGTTCTCGCTGGTACAGGATTGGAATTGAAGGGAAGCTAGAAAAACAAGAAGACAAAGCTTACATGTGCCGTATTTCACATTTGAAATGTACTTATCTCGGCTTTAGTGAGCGTTTAAGCGTATAACTGAATTTGGCTTTAGATAAAAGCAAACTAAAGGTTGTTCATGTCTGCAAAGGATGTAACACATTTAGCTGTAATGGATTTAAAATGATAAATGTTATCTATGTTAAAGAAGAGGAGTTTACAGACTGTTCTATATCTTTATAAAAGCCCCTGATCTGAAATATAAGTGGTAAATGTATATCAACCCTAAAAATATAGTGATATTTGATCTGTTGCAAACAAAAAGCATTACTGCTGTCGTGATCAGCAGTGGTTCAAATGTTGCCTGCAGTAATGTTTCACACTTTTCTCCTCACATGCCTTCTAATCCACCTGTTCCCTTTGGGTTTGGGCTCCAACATGTTGTTTTCTTCCCACAGTGTTGGCTCTCCGTCCAACCTGCTCTTGGGTAGAGATGAGTGGTTGGGCCGGTACTGTATCACACTTCCTTTTTCCTGTGTGTCTCGTGACTGCTTTTTGGCTGTCCCCCCCACCCCCCCCATTTAAGCATGCCTACTGTCAAACAGGAAAGCGACGGAGCTCAGGTTTCCACCATGTCTTCTAACCAGATAGCCCCCAATCAAACCCACCCACCCCCTACCCTCACCTTATTTGGAGTTTTTTCACATTGCTGACTCACTGCAAACCACCCTGTCACATCACACCAATCATTTCATGCTTCTGTTGACCCTTTGGGAGCTGTTAGCAGCGTTGCGTTGCTTTTAAAGGGCTCAGAAAACGACTGTTGTTTAATAACTGGGTGTGGCTTCTCCTTGTCGGTGCTGTGCTCTGTAATGTTGAGTTCTGTTCTGACACAAGTGGTCTTCTGGGTTTCTGATCATATGCTTTTTTTTTTAAACGTGCTGAATGACTTGTTTCCGTGCCTTACAATAGTAGTCAAGCCCTTTAACTTGTTCACATTTTGTCACTGTACAACCTCAAACATGAATGCTTTATTTTATTTATATATATATATATATAAATATATATATATAAATATATAAATATATGATTCCTACAAATTCTGGTAAAGTTTTCCAGGCCTTGAAAAAATGGAAAAATTAATTGAGAGATGGGAAAAATTATTTGTGCTCCCTTACTTTGACCTGTTGCTGTCCTTTATGTCCTTCCTTCCCTCCTTATACAATTTCCTGTCCTCTTTCCTCCTTGTTATAACATATTTTCTTTCCTTCTCATATACTTTCTTGTCTCCTTCTTTTATTTCCTGTTTTTCCATTCGTTCTTTGCTTTCTAAGTGTCCTACCTTCCTTACTGCATTGTTTCATACCCCTCTCCTTTCTTTTTTTACATGATAGTATACTCTGTACTTTTCCTTTGCTCCATCCTAATCTGTACTACCTTCTTGTTTATCCATGTTGCACATTTCAATTTGTGCAGTGTTGGAAATTCTTCATTGGACATTTGAATGTTGTAAATCTGTTTAGTTGGGTCTGGAAAATGAGGGGGTTTGTGCATAATAAATGTGTAGGAATCCTTTTATTGGGATGTTATGTGATGGATCAACATAATGCAGTGTATGCCTGGAAAAAGAAGGAAGAATGCATGATGATTTTTTTATTTTATTTTAGTAGGCAACTTTTAAGTCATTAACCTGACTGTGGCATTTATTGAGAAAATTTATTCTTTTATTTATTTTTGTTGAAAGAAAGCCACAAGAATCCCTTTGACAGTTCACTACAAACCTTTTAGAGAAAACTGAAAACGCATTGCAAGGGTTTTTGACCTTATGCAAAAATGTTTGTTGTAAAAAAGTAACCTTCAATACACCATCCCTGTTGTAAAACACAGTAGTGGCAGTATAATATTGAAGGTTAGTTCTGACGGCAGAAAATGAAGGTAGACATTTATCTTTAATAAGGAAAACAACCTTAGACATACAGAGAGCGCTTCAGTGGAGTTGGTTGATGTCAAAGTCTAAACATAATTCCAATTAAGAATCAAAGGCTCCTAAAAATTCATGTTCAAAGATGCCAAATCCTTCCGCATGGAAGATGGGGTCGACCTTCAGTACATTTGTTGGAATATTTTCCTTTGGATTGACTATTGTTGGCGTCTTTGTTGTGGTCCATCTCATAAAATGTCAATAAAACTTTAAAGTCTTCGTTTGTAATCTGGAAAAAGCTGATAGAGAGTAATTTTTATCATGATTATTCTTTAGCACTGCCTCTCATCCTCCATCTTTTTTTTTTCTTTCCCCCTCTGACCCCGTTTCAGGCCGGTGACCCACATACCTCAAGGCGCCATGCTGACTGTCAACACAAACTCCAGCGTGAGCATCAAGTCGGAGCCGGTCTCGCCCGGCCGGGATCGGAGTACCCCCTGTCCTCCTCCTGCTCCACCCCCATCAAGCACCCCATCCTCCGTTTCTGGAGGAAGCATCCTGACTGCTCCACCTCAGTATCCGAGCTCCCTGCTCTGCCTGGAGCCCCCGACGGGCCGCTCGCCTGCAGACAGCGTAAGTAGCAACGCCAGCTCCTTTGAAGGTAGCGATCGGGATGATGCCAGCGCTGCGGGCGGCGGCGGTGGTGGTTGCACTACTGGAGGTGGAGGTGGTGGTGGAGGAGGTGGCGCTACAGAGTTCCTCAGAGTGTCAAGTGAACCGGACCAGGATGGAGGGAATGTGAAGCGCATGAGATTGGATGCCTGGGTCACATAGGAGCAGCCTCTTTTTAAAATACAGGGAAGTTTGGTTGACTCTTAAACACTTGCACCACCTTCATTGATTATAGCCCCCCTCCCTGCCCCACTGCCATGTGACACTATCATCACGCCTCTGCACCTGTCCTGCATCATATGCCGTCATTCTGAACTTGGAGGGCTTCGCCAAAAAATAATAAAAATTTAAAAAAAGAAACTGGTTTGGATATCAAGCTCTGAGCTCAGCTGGATTTGGCCCCTGATTTAAGGGACTGTAGATTTTTAAGGCCTTCTTGCTTGAATGGACTCCTGTGTTGTGATTTCTGAGGTGTTCGACCTTTTTGTTATGCAATTTGACGCAACCACAGAACATTTTTCCCGTGATTTCTCAGTGACTATTCTATTGACGTGGAGCCAGGACTTTGCTCCCAGCGGGGGATTGGTGGCTCCTCGACTTTACGGGACACCTGCTGCATGACGCTCCACTTCCTGCTCTCACAATCCCACATTGTTTCCATTGAGTGCTGTCCATCTTTTCCTGCAACTTCACCCTGGAGAAATCTTGCGACTGTTCGGACTCTGACGGGTTTTCATTTGGGTGCAGGGTTTCTACACAGCCTGGAAAAATCTAAAATTTGCTTTCCTTGTTTTCCAGGTCCAGGATAAGAGATTTGAATAATTAATGTGCATTTCAAGGCGTTATTCTCCACCATAAATCTTTCCCCTAATTCCTAACTGTCTTTCCTAGTGTCTTTTCTTTCTTGTGTCCTACTTCCTTCTTTGTGTCCTATTTTCCTAGCTGCCTCCCTTTCTAGTGCCGTAACTCTGTTTCCTATTGCTCTACTTTATTTCCTTATGTCCTTCTTTTTGTCTTACTTGCATTTCTTGTGTCCTTTTTTGTGTCCTGGTTCCTTCACTCTTGGTGCACACTCTTTCCATATGTCTTTCCCCACTTTGAGGTGTTCATTCTACACTCCTTGCTCCCTCTCTTCTTTTCCACTTCCTCTCTTCTGTCCTTTCCTTCCTGTCAGATGTCTCCTTCTTTCCTTCCTCCTGTTTTTTCCCTGTTACATATTTAAACCATACCATCTGTAGAAACGTCTCTTTTAGATGATTAATGGACATCTGCAGGTTTATGTTTCAAAATTAACACAAAGGGCTGACAGCTCTGATGTGGAAAAATGTGGGATTTTCCCATGAATAATGTGTAGGAACCCTGTTGGTAGGAATATTGCCGCCATGATGAAAAACCTCCCTCAAACGGACCGGAGTCGAGCACCCTGCCAGAGTGCCAATATCAGCTCCTCTTGATAACAAATGCCAAATGTCGCACTCAGTGGAGGGACACTGACTGCAGACTCTGTGTTCACCGAAGGGTTGCTCCTCCCGCCATTCTTCACCTCATCTCCTCCAGCTCCTGATCAGAAATCCAGCCACTCCCTCTTCTTTTCACCATCCACTTACGATGCATAGGAACTTTAACGAGCCTCTTTTTGTTTCTTTAGTATTTGGTTCTTCGGAGTCCAAGTGTTCTTTATATGTTGGTATTTTAAACATGTTTTGCAGGTCCGTTATAGTCGTCCAGAGGTAGAAATTCCGACTTTGTATAAAAAAGAAAAAAAAAAGAAAAAAGAAAGGTAAAAAAAAATCACTCCTTATACAAAAGCTTTGATGTCCTCTTTAGCTCTCTATATCCCTCCATAGCCGTGTTTGGAAAAGTGAAAGGAAAAAGACTTTTTCTATATTTCTACCGCTTTGAGTCGGCGAAAAAGTGAAATAGCTTTTTGGCTTCAACCACGTGTATGTACATAATGAGTATATTTGCATAGACTTTGCTAGGTATCCCTAAAAACAAGCAATGTGTTGATTCTCAGTGGATCTGTTCGCATATATGAGTGTGACTTTGAGATGTTTCAAGCGGGGGGGTGGGTGGTGGGTGTCGGACTAGTTTCAGTAATCCTCTATTTTATTCTAGTGTTGATGGCGTGCGCACTTTGTCTCACTCACAGAGGCCTGCTTGGTCGTGGTGTTATCATATTCTCCCGCTACACCTCTTTAAACCCCCCACAAATGAAGGTAAATCGTACACCGTGATGTAAACTCTTTATTACTATTATTGTTAGAATTATTATTATTATTAGGACACTGCCATTCACTTATATCTTAGCAATGGAGATGAAATACACTTTAAATTAAGTGTACCATGTAAAAATGTTTTAGACAGATGATACCAGTTTTCCTCTTTGCAGATTGGTTTCAATTTTCTGTTATATTCTTGATAAGTTTCATCTGTCAATTGAAGTTAGTCTGTAAGTGTGTGAACCCAGGTTAATTGAAGAGTTTTCTCTTGATTGCTGATGGAGCTCCAGGCGTAGAGAAGTTTGATTATCCACACCAACAGTCCTGGATTCTGTGAACAAACCTCAGACGGTCAGAAATCGGTAAACGAAAACGGTAACGGAAATTTCTGTAAACTGGTAAATATCTCTTTCAGACGCACAGATGTGGCTTTTTAGTGGCTTTTTTGACCCCTAAATATAATTTTTTTAAAAAGAAACACCAGAGATGCACAGATCAAGCTTTTCAGCGTTTGTACAGATTATTGTTGTCTTCGGACAGTAGCAGAGAAGCTGCAGGTTCCTTAATATTGGCTTTGAATCCAAATGAAATGACCCCATTTATGCAGCAAAGTAGGCATCTCAAATCTTGAGCCTAAATGTGTTGGTTAATGTATTTTTAAACCCAAAAGGATGAGTCCCGAGTTTTACTGCATTTTAAGAGGAGGGGTTCAGGATCTGGCCTGCAGTTAAAATGAAAATGGGCTTATTTGGAGCGTTGGTTGGCAGGTCGGTGCATCTCTAGTTTATACCAATAGAAAATAATTGCAGTTGCCTACGGTTGATTCTGATTAAGTGATTTAGATACATCCAAATGTTTTTATCAATGCAGTTTACTCTTGAAAAATAGCCCATAAAAAAGATAAGACTCTTAAGACTTAATAAATTACTCTTTCATTTACTCTCCGTTTATCTTGTTTTGGTTTCTTTTCAGAAACGAAAACAATATTTTCTAAATTGAATGAGAAAAGGGCCCCCTTTCTTAGAAAGCACAAGAAATGCTTAGTTTCTTATTAATCTGATGCTGGGTATTTGGAAAATTCTGAATTCTGTCTAGTAATGAGTCACATTGATCCACTTCTAAACCTAATTGATGATCAGTGATGCTAAACTTTCCTTTTGAAATAAGAAAATAGCTTATTTCTCTGTATTTGTGTGTGAATATGAACCTTAGGATGTAGCTCAACCAGAACAGAATAATTACAGAATAATCACAGTTCAATAATTTGTACTAATAATAAGAAAAAAAGCAGCATCCCTCATGCTTATTTGCACTCCTGGTAATGATGTATTCAAAAGCCTCCTAAATTACCTCCTACTGTGGAGATGTATTGCTGCTCTAGATGCCCTTCTCTTATAGAGACTCTTTCTTGTGTGAAACAGGTTTGTGTTGACTATTATCTTATAAACACACCCAGTGGTGACTAATTTTTAGCTTTACAGAGTCCACCTCATTTCTTGAAGACTTATTCTGTGCACTAGAACTAGATTCCCTGGGAATGAAGCAGAGAAAAGGCCCACAGCATCATAGATCCTCTGTCGAAGCTCCAAATCTGCAGTAGTTTTATTTGAATTCTTATTTTATTTCAGTCCTTCTCCCATTGATATTGTTAACTAAGCAAATCTCTTCTATAAAAGTTCAAGTAATGTCAATTTGGATTTTTTTTTTAGACCCAATGATTTGAAGCTGGGAGATATTTTCACTGTTCATGGTAGTAAAATAAACTCCTGTGTTGTTTGCAGGTTCCAGTAGTTTTAACCTGCATTTGTTCTCTTAATGATTAATTTTTCTGAAATAAAATGTCATGTTTCTCATTTTAAAGAGTTTATAAGAGAAGTGGGCCTGCATTGTCAAGTGTGTATCCCCATTTTTGATTATTAATCAAAGACTTCAACACACTCTGATCAACTGGAACTGAAGGTAAATTTAGAAAAGCTGTCCTTGCTGCCAATTTTGCAAATTCAGTTTAATTTTTTTTTTTCTGATATCTTTAGCAGAGGTGCATTATCACTAACAACCAGCACTTAAAAAATGATTTTTATTTAGCTTTTTTTTAAATCAGTTCTTCTTCCGAAGTTTATTTATATCGATTTTCTGTAGCACAAAAAAGCCAGTATGTGCTCCTGTTTCTGTGTTAAGATAACCCGCCTCAGCTTCATATTCACCAACACAAAGCGTGACCAGTTTCTACCGACTCTCCCGGTGGGCGAATGAAATGTGACGCCACTACGATCTATCTCATTGTTACTTTGCAAAGAGAATTTCTCTGTCCAATCCAGCGGTTTAGTGACAAGACAATCTATATGAGGAAACCTGCACCCCATCCTGTTGTGTATAATGTTTTTTAGAGACTCACTATTTTTGGATTGATTTGTGCTGGTGACAGTTCAGACGTCTGTTTTATTATGATGATGATGATATTCTGGAGCTTTTATTTTACTGCTATATTTTTGTGTAGGATAGCCAGCTGTTTTTTTTTGTTTTTTTCAGACTCTTTTATCTTCCTTATCATAAACATACAGTACTGGTTTCCTTTTCATTTCGGAACATGTTGCCGAAAATTGCACGATCAGTTCTTGTGGTATTAGCAAATGCAATGAAGGAAATACCAGTTAAATGCTGCAGTTTTAATCAAGATATAGAATATATTTATAAAAAAATGTGGAACGCCAGAAATTAGTCATTCATGGAATATAAAAAAAAAATAAACATGCATGGGACACAGGTAACAGCTAAGCTTATGTTACGTACAGTAAGGATAAGGACATGCATCACAAATGAGTTTTTAAACAGCTCAGAATAATGTAGCATATGAAATACTAAAGATGAAATTTATAGCTAATATATTGTGTTGAGCTGGTCTGCTTTGGGTTTTATTGTAAAGAAGATATTTCTGTTTTTGTTCTTTTTTTGTTTTGTTTTTTGAGAATGATATACAGTTTGTGTATATTTTCATATACAAAGTATGCACTGATATGTTATTAAATTCTATACCGCTTTTACAAAAAAAGTGTTTGTTGTACCAAAGTATCCAAGTCCCTTGAAACCTTTATCCTTTTTGCGTATGTTTTACCGTATTTTATATATTAAATAGACAAACTGAGTGAAATGACACCGGATCTGTTTGGTTTAATTGTTTTATTTTTTTGTGTGTGTGTAGAAAGTGTTACAGTGATTTTTAGCTCCGGTTCTGTTTCCACAGATTTGGTGAGAACTACACGGCTAAATTTAGCCGGCTTTTCATGACCTGTGATGAAACGGTTATCATTATGGTGCTGAAAAAAACTGTTAATCATGCCAGCTTATTGTTTATTGTATTAAGTTTGGGTTTTTTTTTGCAAGACAAGCAGAACGTTAGATCCAGGGTTCATTAGCAGTCTCATCAATAAGATGGAAGGAAAATAAATGGATTTCAAGACTTCCTGACTGCTGATCTACAAGTTTTATCTGTTCTCTTATTACTCGTTAATTATTTGTCCATCCATCCGTCCCATCATCCTGTCGGTTCCACCTTAACCAGATTAATGATTGGGGAAAAAAACGATTTAGTCAGCCACTGATTGAAGTTCTCTTACTTAAAACAACGATAGAGGTCTGTAATTTTCATCATAGCTACACTTCAACTGTGAGAGACAAAATGAGGTGAAAGAATCCAGGAAATCACATTGTAGGATTTATTAAAAATGGTATTTTGTAGACTATTATGCAAAATAAGTATTTGGTCAATGATAAAAGTTCAACTTCATACTTTGTGACATAACCTTTGTTGGCACAAACAGAGGTAAGACGTTTTCCGACAGTCTTCACCAGGTTAGCTGCAGGTTTGGTCCATCCCTCCATAACATCTCCTCTAGAGCAGTGGTGTTTGGGGGCTGTTGCTCGGCAGCAAGACCCAGCCACCTTCCATCTTCATTGTTTTCACTAATGGAAGGAGGTTCAAGCTTACAGACATATATGTATATATATGATCCCGTTTATTCTTCTTTAGCAGAGATCAGTCATCCTGATCTCAGAAAAATAGCCCCACAGCATGATGCTTCCACCCCCATGCTTCACAGTAGGCATGGTGTTTTTGGGCAGCTCAGCATTCTTCTTCTTCCAGCCTTAATCAGCCACAGGATGCCGTTTCTCTTCTGGATCATCCATATGCTCTCTAGCAGATTACAGACGGACCTGAAGCCGGGACACAGCAGGAACTGCAGGATCTGAGTCCTGCTTGATGTGGTGTGGTACTGATGGTAGCTTCTGTTGCTTTGGTCCCAGCTCTCTCCAGGTCATCCATCGGGTTTCACTGTGCAGATGTGGGACTTTTGGCCCACCCTTTTAATTATTTTGATCCCAAGGGATAATATGTTACTTGAGGTGCTAGATTAAGGGAGATTATCAATGGTCTTTTTATCCAATTGCTCCCACTGTTGATTTATTCCCACCGACCCACCTACCTTTTTTAGATTCGCTCTTCTCAGCCCGGTGTAGAGCTACACCTTTGTTCCTTTAGCAGTTTTTTGGTCTTGGTTATGGTTGGGTTTG